ATATATATATATAATTTTCTTGTAATTTTCAAATCATATTTTTTTTATGATTGTCTACTGTTGTACTGGTAAATATCTCTGGAGGGTAAACTATATCTTGGCTGCAAGTATCAAACTGTGAAATCCTTCGTTTTCTACAACTGATAGTGGTTGGTCATTAAGTATGAAGTTTATCAACTTCTCTGTAAACTCCGGGGCTTCAGCGATGTCTTCTTCTTGTTCAATCTGAAGCAGCAGCCTGATTTGGGGCAGCCGCGCTCAGTCTGTCCCTCCTCAGAGACGGGCAGACTGAGCGGGGCAGATTGGACGCGGCTGACCGGGGTCGAGTCGCCTGTTGTGGGTTGAGCACAAAGAGTAGCGCCTCGCTGAAGCCACGGAGCTCGAACGTCCATCATAAAACTAACTTTACCGCAGTTTAATGTGGCGCTATGGCTCTGCAGACATTGCACGTTGCTGTCTTGTTTTGTGGTGTTTCTAGTGTAAAATACTTCCACACAGCGGACATGTTTACATGAAAAGTTGGCTAACCGTTAGCCACAGTGCTGCTCACTCAGTCCGCACGTTGTAGCTGCTGCAAACTATGAACTGGATTTCCTGAATGTGAGGCGGCTCTTATTACTCTGGGTTCATGAGACACGACTCCGTTCAGGAAATCCATTCCATAGATTGAAGCCAACATGCATCATGGATCGGAAATCTCTGCAGGTTGGATCGGAAAAATCCGATACGTCAATTATGCTGGTATCGGAGGCCGACACCGATACTGGATCCGCCCCATCCCTAGTTTCAATTGTAGAACAGGGCTGTATGAATGGGTAAGTACAGTCCATTTACCATTTACCATTTTAGATTTTTCATTCAACCTTTATTTATACAGGTAAATCCCATTGAGCCTCAAGGACTCATTTACAAGAGAGCCCTTATTTCAACAAAGAATGATGACACAATGGACAACAGCAACAACAATAAACAGCCACAAAAAGTCATACAGATTAATTACACATAGAGTGAAATACAGTACTTCAAGCCTTTATTTCTTGTAATTTTGGTGATTATGGTTTACAAATAATGAAAAACCAAAACTCGGTCTCAGAAAATTAGAATATTGAGATAAAGTTCTATTTTGAAAAAGTATGCACTCTATGCACAGATAAACAGATGTGAGCTACAAGTGGCACATTCTTCAGGTCAGCCACTCCTGAACCAGACAACATCCGAAGAGTCTTCCAATATGGAAAGTTTTCCAAAAATTCAAAATGTTCTGAGATACCAAATTTTGTTTTCTTCATTATTCATAAGCCATAATCATTAAAATTACAAGAAATAAAGGCTTGAAATATTTCATTGTGTGTGTGTTCATCTTTATAATATACGAGTTTCACTTTATGAAGGGACTGACAAAAAATATACAACTTTTTCATGAATTTTTTAGATGTAGATGATATATGCTCATTTGGAAATCTCACCTGGCTTTTCTTCAGCTCCCCCTCCAGCTGCTTAATTCGAGATTTGGACCAGGCTTTTATTTTTAGGAACTTTGCCTCAGATCTACTGGCTTCTTCTGTTTTTTGTTTAACTTGAGCTGAAAGAAATTAAAAGACTGAATAAGTTATCAAACTAATAACATGAAACAGAAATTTAATGGAACTGAAATAGGGCTTATATTGCATAATTCAAAATATAATTGAAAACAGAACATTGTTTTGGCTGTCTCCAGGGGTGGAGTGAGTACTAAAAAAACATAATCAAGGAAAAGTACACTCACTCTGTTGAAAATTTACTCAAGTATAAGTAGAATTACCAGCATAAAAAACTATCGGCACGTCAGCAATGGACCAGTCAGCGTCAGCGACCTCAATTTGTCCTGAAGTGAACATCCCTTACCTGCAGAGCTGCAGTGGTGTTGCATTACAAACGCTTAGCAGCCAGAGATTTCAATAACAGAGTTCACATGTTTTGATTCATGTTAATCTACTGTAATAAACCTTTGTAAAATACACCAAAATGCAGGACATGGCATCTACTTTGTTCAAAATTCTCTGGGGGAGGATCCCCAGACCCCACCCCACCACCACAACCACCAATGCAGCCTGTTCTGTAATATTCTTTATACAGAATGGAAGGATAAATGACTGTATAATAAATAAATGGACTTTACTTAAAGAATTATTTGCATTTCATATATTATATTATTAAATTTGGCCCACAGCTCTCCGATAGATTTTAAATTTGGCTCTTTCATAGAAAAAGTTTGGGCACCCCTGTTTTAAACAAAGAACACATACGAGGTACAGACAACAGTAGACAATCATAAAAATAGCATTTAAAATGAAAAGTAAATAGAAGAAATTATATAAAAACGAAACAAAAAACAGCTACATTATAAAGCAAAGAAAAAACTAAAAACAGGAACAAGCCTGCATTGGTTTTTGCCATGAACTTAGGTCGTTTTCACACTAGATAGTCCGGTAGACTCGGTTCGGTTCGGGACCAATATTCATGACCTTTTGTTTACATTTGAGTTGGTGCGTTTGCATTCACACTGCACTGTGCAGTCGAGCCAACCTGTTGAACCAACCTATTCCCCCGCTCGTCTGTGGGGGCGCTGCACCAAGAACTACTGAAAGAAACAACACAAAAACCTCTGAAGACACGTCTTCTTCTTCTTCTGTAAATAAAAATAAAATGAAGTGGCATCAAGTTTTAGCAGTTTTAGGAGTTATATTTTGTCATTTTTCACAAATGGACTTAGCATGAGCAGAAGATGAGACAGAAGAACATGGAGAATATTGTTTTTCCACACAAGGCAGCTGACGGCTCCCTATAAGGTCAGAGAAATATGTGTTTGTTTGTCCTGCGGAGCGGGGCCCGGTCTGTTTACATTCACACTGTACTCGAACCGCGCTGGAGTTCGCTTCTACCGGACCAAGACCTAGGTTTTAGCCCGGGCCAGAGTTCGCCTTTTTGTTCCGTGACAGAGTTTGATGGCGCGTTCACACCTCCCCAAATGAACCGGACTTTCTAGGAAAACGAGCTAGAGTTCGATTAAAGTGGACTAAACAGGGCTAGTGTGAATGCACCCTTAGAGGATGTTTAAAGTCCCTTAGAGAGGTCAAGGTCAAGAGCTTCAGATCTTTTTGAAAAGTGTTCCAGGATACAGGAGTGGAGTAAGAAAAGACCCCTTTGCTTAATTCAGTCCGCACTGAGTGTACATTGCAGGTAATTATGTCCTGAAAGCACACGCTGTAGCTGCACTCATGAAGTAGGATATACAGTCCCATCCATCCACTATCTTTTACAAGCTTATTCCATTTTGGGTCACCGGGGTCGCCGGTGCCCATGTCCAGCAATCACTATGCGAGGGGCGGGGTACACCCTGGACGGGTCGCAAGTCCATCACAGGGCCACATAGAGACAAACGAGACAAACAACCATTCACTCTCTCACTCACACCTAGGGACAATTTAGAGTTACCATCAGTCTAACATGCATGTTTTTGGTCTGTGGGAGGAAATCGAAGCACCCGGAGAAAACCCACGCATGCACGGAGAGAGCATGCAAACTCCACCCAGAAAGGACCCTGGACCGGGGTTTGAACCAAGGATCTGCTCGCTGAGAGGCAGCAGCTCTACCAGTTGCGCCACCGTGCTGCCCGATATACAGTCCCTTTCCAAAAAATTAGAATATCATGGAAAAGTTGTTTAACTTCCATAATTCCATTCAAAAAGTTAATCTTTAATAGGTGATAAGATTCAGGGCCCACAATTTAAATGAGTTCAAGTATTTATTTGTTTATTTTTACATAAAGAAACCCATAAAAACAGGTCCAACATTTTTCAGTCAGGTCATCTGGACAGTTTTTTTTTTTGTACTGTAACATTTTGCCTTCGATCCAGAAGGCTTCATGAGTCAAGGAAACACACAACAAAACTGATTCTTCTCCCAACAGCTTACTCCAAAGTGGAACAAACCAGTTATGTTGGTGCTAAGATGGTCTCTTTGTCACACCCCCTCCTCCAATGCCGGCCCTCTTCCTTGTTGACAGTCGTGTCAAACTGGTTGAAAACAACAAAGTCCATGCTCAATAATCCAGGTATAACAGGATTTCAAAAAAATTAGAATACTGTGGAGAAATCAGCCCAAATTTTGCAGGGCATGAATGTTTTAAACTGAGTGTAACACTAATCATCTACTAAACTCAAAGCACTTGCACAGGTTTCCCCAGGTGTCATTAAATTGCTTCAGTTTGGTTCAATTATCTCAGTTCGGTTCAATATGGGGAAGACTGAAGACATAACAGCTGACCAGAAGACCATCATTGATGCCCTCCATAGGATGGGTAAGCCACAAAAGTTCATAGCTAAGGAGGCTGGCTGTTCACAGAGTGCTGTGTCCAAGCATATGGATAATGGAAAGTCTAGTGGAAAGACAAATTGTGGCAGGAGAAGATGCACCAGCAAAAGAGATGATCGTGGGCTTCAGCGGATTATCAAACAGAGAAGATTCCAGAATCTGGCAGAGATCCAGAAAGAGGGGAATGAGGCGGGAGTCACAGCTTCAAAAACCACCACATTCAGACGTATCCGGGAGATGGACTACAACTGTCGGGTTCCTCTGTCCTCTTTTCCGATGAAAGTAAAGTGTGCCTTTCATACGGAAATCAAGTTCCAAGGGTTTGGAGGAAGAAAGGTGAGGAACAGAGCCCATACTGCTTGAGGTCCAGTGTGAAATATCCACAGTCAGTCATGATTTGGGGTGCAATGTCCGGTGCAGGTGTTGGTAAACGCTGCTTTCCTAAATCCGAGGTCACCGCAACAGTCTACCAGAATGTTTTAGAGGACTTCATGATTCCTTCTGCCCAGGATCTGTATGGAGATGCAGATTTTATCTTCCAGCAGGACCTGGCCCCTGCCAATGCAGCTAGAAGCACCAAAACCTGGTTTGATGCCCATGCGACAGCGCCGAATCTAAACCCCATTGAGAATCTATGGGGTATTCTCAAGAGGAAAATGAGGGGCACCAGAGCCAACAACAAAGAAGATCTGACAGCAAGCATCAAGGAAATCTTGGCTTCCATAACTCCCAGGCAATGCCACGTCGCATCGAGGCAGTGATTAAAGCAAAGGATTCCCAACCAAGTATTTAAGATTGACATATCGTTTTGAAAGTACCATATTTTAATTGATTTGTTGTGATCCTAATTTATTTCTTTTTTTCTGCAAAAACTGAGAAGTAGTGTGAGCTGATGTGTTCACAGTATTCTAAGTTTTTTGAAATCCTGTTTTCGTGGGTTTCATGAGATGGAAACCCAAATTATGTAAAAATAAACAAATAAATACTTGAAATCGTTTATATTGTGGGCCTTGAATCGATCCTCTATTAAAGATCAACTTTTTCAGTGGAATTATGGAAGTTAAACAACTTTTCTATGATATTCTAATTTTTGGAAAGGGTCTGTATATGAAGGCAACTTAACCAAGAAGTGATTTAAAGATGAAAATGTACCAGTGAGAGTCTGCGTAAAGTTAATGATGACCAAATCAACAATGAATACAGGGTGAAGTGATGGGTACAGTAGTTACAGCCAGTTATGAATCTTAGCACACCATGATATAGTCCAACATCTGCAAGGTGCTTGTAGGGGCATTCATGTAAATAATGTCATCATTGTCAATGGAGGGGAGGAATGTAAAAGTTACAAGGTGTTTCCTAGAATTCAGAGTTAAACAGGATCTGTTTCTGAAAAAGAAACCCAGTTTTACTTTCAGTTTCTTTGCCAAGTTTTCAACATGAGGTTTAAAACTTGCACCTGCACCTTCCACCTGCATCTTCCACCTGAATCAAGAAGGACCCCACTCACCCAGCACACACACTTTTTTCCCCGCTTCCTTCAGGCAGACGGCTGCGGAGCATTAAGCGCAGAACCACCAGACTGAGGAAAAGCTTTTACCCTGAAGCTGTTAGACTCCATCCATCCATTATCTACTGCTTGTTCCAAAGTCGGGTCGCAGGGGCAGCAGCTTGTGCATGGAGGCCCAGACATCTCTTTCCACAGCCACCTCTTCCAACTCTTCTGGGGGGACCCTGTTAGTCAATTATCTAGACTGACCCTGAGTTTCTGATCTGCTCAAAGACGGATTATAATGAAATTATGACCCAGTTTTGACTGGGTTAAACTGGGCCAGCAACTCTAAAAAGAGTCTCCCAGGGATTCAATATCCATCAAGGAATAGAGTTCATTTTGCTTGCTACATCACGCAAAAAGTATTTTGATGCATCGTCTCATTTTTCCTTACACGTCAAACCACGTAAGATCCGTTGAGATCACACTTAGTCGCTCCCCCTCATGCACGTTACAGGTTGTGCTCCCCTTCTGCAAAGGAGGAGTCTAGGGCCTATAAATCTGTAATGCCATAGGACATCACCCCTTCCGGTTTCTGATCATGACGTAGACCAGACTGGCCAGCACTATAAACTGTAACCTTTTCATGCCTTGATTTTAATACATTTGGTAAAACTGAATTCAGGTTTCCTTGATTCATTATAGTGTGAGTTGCCGCTTCTGAGGGAAGTCCGAGAGGA